ACAGCTGCAGCTGTGTCTATTGTTGGCCGTGTTGCGTGGCAAGTGCTCCCGGCTGCGTACTACCGTCCGCAGTATGCTGACAATCACTAACCTACGTTCCCGTCGTACTTGAGACTCTATTGAAAGAGTTTGCCGGCGTATAGAGTTGACCGGTAGGGGGCGGTCGTGAAACACGACGCCAATCGCTCCCTGGGGTAGCGCTATTGGTAGCACGGCGGGGGGGAGTTCGTCGGTAGGAAATGAATGTTCCAACGGGGGGGTGCTCTGCTCGGTGGGGGGGGGGAGGTTACTCATGTTTTGCATGACTTAGCGGGTAGACCATTGACCACGCGCCATCGAGAGGCGTTGCTCGAGGGGAGGGCGAGGTACAAGAAAGAGTATCAGCTGCTTTGGCTCGGACCACAGCAGCTAGTAGTCCTCATCCACCACAAACAAATGGCGAGACCGCCTGGCTCCAAAGTCACCGTAGACAGACACGATCAGAAGACGAACTTTCTCCTGGGCCTCGCGTGATGAGGTGTCAGGTGGGAGGGGGTGTGCGGCGTTGAGGAGGCGTTACTTTTTCTTCGGAGTTTGACCGATGGCCGCTGCGCGCACTCACTCCTTTCCGAGACGTGCGGGCGGAGCAGCACATAACTTCAGGATTCCAGTATGGGCTTCGTCTAGAATTCAACAGCAGTTGCAGTGCTTTTCTACATACACCGTATGACACGTCGTGGTTGTAGTAGGTTGCGTAAGATACCACACCTGGACCGTTTTTCGAAGAAAACCTGACATGTACATGTAGACATGTAGACTACGTCTACACCTCGACGGAGAATACACACATAATGTCACATGCGTACAAAATAATACGCCTTCTTCATGGGCGTGACAGGCACGCGGCCCGCCGTGGTTACCGCCTCCTACGTACGTGCCATACTGCAGTACACACACCGCACACAACATTTATGTATGCCCCCGTCGACAATCAATGTGGACCTCGGGCGAAAGTGCAAACGCGTACACCTTGGCTGTCGCGGCGTCGGGATCGCCACCATTCCGAGCATTCCGGGTCTCTTCTTCCATCACAAAGTGCGGTCCGTGTCAAATGAACAATTTAGCTTATAATTCGATGCACCCAGGGGGACGCATATTAGCCAAAGATTCCAACACCTCCAAAACACATCCCGTTCGACTGCTGTGGATATATATACAGCAAGTATCTCGAAAACGCGTTGGGTAGTCTTTCTGTGTTGTATTTACTTGTATTTTTCCTAAAAAGGACCGGTCCTGTTTTTCACCGACGGAACTACACCCATTTTTTGGGATGTGCCGAGATCGACCGAGACGTACTTCCATGCGCCCGAGAGAGAGAATAAATAAACGATTCTTTCCTTCGGGCACCCCGCTCACCGTAACACATCTCCTGACCACAGACAGACGAGAGCGAGAAGGAGACCTGCAGGACCGGGGGAGGGCAGGGTCTAAGGCACACGTCAAAGGCATTGGCCCGCTGGTGTACCTGTCGGCAGCGTCACGACAATGGATACGGCAGAGTGAGTGTGGGATAAATATGGGTGTGTTCTCTTTCTCACAGCAGTTCACAATTCGGCATCCGAGGACATGTAACATATTATCGGCCTTTTTATCTTCGTGTACAGCGCGGTGTACAGCAGTAGACCACTTTGGTTCCGAGACGACGGCAGCCAGGTGTGTGTGCGGTCATGCTCATAAGTAGCATGCATGGTGTTGCGAGAGAGAGCCGACGATTTATGCATGCTTCACAGCAGCAGCAGAACTCGCAGTTCGAAATGCGGTGAGGGTTTGTCGGGCACGCGTTTGAAGAAACAATCTCTTCCCCCGCGTACGTACATAGAAGGCCAAACATGTTACAGCATCCTGCCCCTGTTGTCTCGCGCGACTACACCTCTCTGACCCTTGATGTGTGTATGACGTGTGTGTGACAATGCTGCTGCTATGCGGCCTGTCTATGTTCTATACCAGCTGCGGGCGACCGTGCATGTACAATTATGCTGCTGGCGAGTTTCCCTTCTCCTCCCTGTTGAGAACACAAAACGGAGGCGGATCGAAAGAGTTCTCTTTTCGTTCTGTTTTCAATATAATATTTCAGTACGAAGAGCGAAAAAAAAAAAAACACGGCTGGCGGCAACAGCAGCAGTGTAGAGCGGGAGCGCGCATGGATGGCAGATACTACCCGCGCCCCAGCCCGTAACCTCCCGGTGCAATATCTATCGTTGTTGGGATGCATTGCGGTGGTATAGCTGTTACAGCAGTAGTCTCTACTCGCGGAGGGGGAAGCATCTGCGTCAACTGCTCGAAATGTTACTGGCGTGGACACGATGCCACCGCCTCTCGGCAGCGGACCGCAAGAGGAGATGCCACCACGTACTGCTGTAGGCAAGGTAGTACGTGGCTTGCCTTGTGTGTGTACAAGGTGGTGGAGATAAAGGGCTTCTCAGTAGTTGGTCGATGATGGTGATCGAGGGCCGTTCGCACACGTATAGCAGTGCATGCAAGGAGAGGTGTTGCTGCTTGCTTTGAGCAGCTACGCAGCTACAGCAGCAAGTATCCATAGTATTCAATAGTCAGAACAATTCTCTTCTGCTATATTTCTGATTCCTCGGCGAGAAATACCCGCGCTCCAAAATCACCCACCCCGCCGTGTACAAGTACAGTAGTTGCGCGGAGTCACGAATGCCCCTAGCACTAGCGGCAAACAACGCCGTGTTGAAAGTTTTTATGAAGAAATACCTCAAACGTTGTATGCAATGAATTTTAAGCGCCCAACAAGGTTGCCTACAATGTATTCGGTAGTTTTTGTCTTCCTCGGTCCGGTATTTTAGATTTGGTGATCTCCAGCCGCGGTCGGAGGTCCTGTTACTACTCACGTCCCCCGCCGGTGCTGAAAGCTCTCCCCGCACCAGAGGGGCACATCGCGGACACGATGGCCCGGGCTCATATGGTACCCTGGTGCCATGTGAACGCGCCGAGGGATCAATCCGTTTCAACCGAAATGGGTAGACTACGGAAAGAAACCCTGGGGAAAGTTTCAGCTGATCCCCCCCCCCCCCCCCCGTCCCCCTTGGCAAAAGTAGGAAGAAGCAATTGGCCTTCGGTGATCGGTCCTGCGGGAAACAATGCTCCGTCCTCTCGAGGACGTGTGGCCAATGGTCTAACAACCGAGGCATGCAGAACATAAGCACCCACACTCCCTCTTGTTGTTGCTGTTGTATGTATCGTTTTCATGTTTGTTTTATGGTTTCTGCCTCTGCTCAGTGCCTTCTGACGACATCCGTACCGGTCCAAGTGACGCAGATGCCTTCCACGGTACAGTATAGATGCTTTGGAATAATCACAGAGGACAACCCTAATCATCCTCCCTGAACTGCTGTTCGAAGTTCGGAGTCTACTTGTCCTGACGATGAGATGGTGTACCAGCACACGTTTTGGGTGCAGTTTAGGGTCAAGACGACCGTAACTCGTGCTAGGACAACAAGTAAGTCCGCCCCGCCTCCCCAGCCTGCCTCGTACTTTTCATTCTCTCTCTCTCTCTCTCTCTCTCTCTCTCTCTCTCTCTCTCTCTCTCTCTCTCTCTCTCTCTCTCTCTCTCTCTCTCTCACTCTCTCTCTCTACACACCACGATGATGCACCTCTCTTCCGCTATTTCGTTCGCAGGATTTCTGCGACGGACGTGGCCCTGGCCGTCGATACCGCGTGGGTCCTGCTGGGAGCTGCGATGGTCTTCTTCATGCAGGCGAGGATTAAAGACATCCGCTGCTACTGCTGTTGTATGAGATGTAGCACTTCGCGTTCGTTCATATTGGTTGCCCAGACACGTTGAACGGGAGAGAGATAGACCCAAGCGCCGCAGGAGAGAGGGGGGTGTACTCATGTAACCGCATGCCGTAGTCGTTAACTTTGACCTCGCATCCCGACAATGCCGGGACTGAGCGATATTACGGGTTTTCGCCGGCCCAGGCTACGTTTCACGAGCATGAACTCGAGAGCTGGGGGGGGGGGGGGGGGGGTAGTGTTCTAGGTGTACATTTTACCAGCAACGGTATTTCGACAGGGATGGAGCAAGCAAAGGCTTGAAGGAGAGGCGTCGTAGAGCATGCACACACAGGAGTAGGTGGGGCGGGAAGTGTGAGCCATCACTTCAGTGTGTGTGCGTGTGTAGCCGAAAGGTTGCTACGGGCAAGGGGGCTTGTGAAGCCGGATGATATCTCTGCACAGAACAGGCCGTGTTGTTGTTGAGAACCTTCTTTTCGCCGTCGATAGTCCGCCTGCCCCGTCGACATCAAGCTTCCCTTGGGCGTAGAGCCCTGAGTTCGTATTGAGAGTCGGTTGGTGTCTGGTGAAGCGCCTGCTGTAAGAGCTTTCCTCCGCCATTTCATGCGATGGTTACTGACGATAAACGTAGCCAACAAGAGAGAGAGAGGGAGAAAATGTCGGGAGCTCGAGGAATGCGACGTCCATGGAAGGGCAAACACGGTGGCTCTAAGAAGGGCATCGGTTTTCTATTGCACCCATATCCTACTTGAGGTGTGCGCGACGATCCTGACCGGCTCGCCATGCACACACAAAGAAAGAGAGAGAGAGACACGCAGAGAGAAACCGAGGTAGAGGTAGAGAGAGAGTTATTTACCGTGGGCGTTTGGGACAAGGTTCTCGCTGTCGTCATCTTGCGTAAAATAACTACCGCTGCTCCGCCTGAGGGTTTTCAAGGGTGCGGCGTTTCGACGAACCAATGCAGCCGTTTGGACTCGATGATGGACCTGACCCACTCCCTGCAGTTATTTATGTTTTGTCGATGCTGTTGCCGCCTCTTACTCCATCGTGTTCTGCATGCCTGTGGGAAACCCTGAACCGTTTTCCCGCAGGCTGGCTTCGCGATGCTGGAGGTCGGGTCGGTCAGCATCAAGAACACCAAGAACATCCTCATCAAGGTCCGTCCGTCCGCGCGTGGATGACGATGTGCCACTGTACAGTTAATTTGTGATGACGGTCCCTCCACCTGGTGCAAAGCAGCGCTTCTCGCGAGACTCGTACTGCGAAGTGTGATGCCATGTCGTCGTCGGCAGGGTTCCCACTGGTAGGTTTGTGTTAGAAGGGAGTAGGAGCGGTGCTCCGAGCTGACAATGGGTTAAATGACCGTGCGAAAATATGTACGCCCCCCCCCCCAAAAAAAAAAATCAGAATATCGGAGACTCGGCGATGGGGGCAATCGGGTGGTGGCTGTTTGGTAACGGACTAGCCTTCGGGCGGGACAGCGGAGGCTTTGTTGGGGTCACCGGCTTCGCCCTTAAGGGCGAAGACCTGTACGGCACGAGCACGGGGGACTTCGATGCCTTGTCTTACGCGAACTGGCTCTTCCAGTGGACCTTCGCCGCCTCTGCGACGACGATCGGTGAGAGCCTAGTTTGTCGGTTCATTTTTGTCATTGGGTAAGTTATTGGGGTGCGGTACCTAGGTTGCGACAGCTACGTCTGTTTTGGGACACCAGTCTACCAAACGTTTCGTTGTTGTTGCTGTTGCACTCTCAGAATCGCAGCGATTTTGTCCGTCTCTAGTGGCGTCGGGAGCGCGAGGCTCGCACACCTCGGACTGGTCGCGACAAGTGGAGGATTTTTTTCGGTTGGCCTACCGATGACTTTGGGGGAGGGGCAGGCGATTCCTAACTTTCATCTCATCCATCCTACTGTTCGTCGGCACGCACATTTCTCTCGCGTTGTCACACCTGTGGTAGATTCAACACACACCAAAGCATGACGTTTATGGTGTGTTGACTCCGCTTTGTGGGTGGTCGTGGTGTTCTCCCTCAATATATCGAAAAATCGAAATACCCTCGTCGTACTTTATACTTTTTCGTGTTTCTACCTGGTGTGAGTTTTCCGTATCGCTCGACTTTCCGTAAAGAGAACCCCTATTTTTTGTTTAGTTTTGACTTTGCCTAGCACGTATTTCCGTACAGCACAACCCTCATTTGTTTTTGCTGGCGATTTTCCGTGAAGCACGCGTGTTACTGCCGTGGATAAGAGACTGTCTCATTGTTGCTTGCGTCATCTCCGGTACTTGGCCTCTACCGTGTCAACTTGCCCTCTACCGCGTGGTGCCCGGAGGAAACAAACAAACGAGCAACAATTGCAGAAACAATAGCAAACAGCAACTGCAACGACCGCAAGCCATGGTAGTGTCAACAACATCAGCTCGTTAACGATGCATGATTGTCCCTGCCTTCTCTCGTTCTCTTTATTTTTTTTCGTTGGCTCTTCTGGTCTGTCCGTTTTGCTGTCGACAATTGTCTAGTGTCGGGCGCAATGGCGGAGCGCGCGACGTTTGGAGCGTACGTCTTGCATTCCTTCCTGCTGACGTCCTTCATATGTGAGTGGTATGGGGCTGGGGTGGCGTCAAGAGGGTGTGTACACGTGAACACAGTTCAGCCAGGCAGTATTAAGCAACGGAAGGAGTATATCCCGGGAGAGCAGATCAAGCTCCGTTTGGTACCGTACCGTTCTTTTTGCATGGCCTCCGTGCGACAAAGCATCGTCCGTTGCTGCACTCAGGTTGTTTTATCGAAGAAGCGCGCTGACCCTCCCTGCAATCTTTCGTCTGTCAGTTTTCTTTTTTCTTCATCCCCAGATATCCACTGCCGCTCGCAGTCCCTAGTTAACCGTGCGGCCTTGCCTCTCGAACTGAGGAGCTCCGATGCGGGGTCACACAGACAAGTTGCATGTTGATGTTGCAAATGGTCTTCAAAGGCCAACTCGCTTGACGCGCGCGTGAAAGAGCAGGAGATAAATACAGTAGGTAGAGAGATAGATAGGTAGATAGATACGAGAGAGAGCGCGAGACAGAGGCAGAGAGAGAGAGAGAGAGAGAGGCAGAGAGAGAGACGGAGAGAGAAGAGAGACGACGTTGCGTTGCGACTGAAACACCCCTGCTGCCAACAGCCAAATAGCGAAACTACCCAACCGGGCGCGTGAGGCTTGCACCAATACATCTCGCATCTTTTTCTTCTGTTTCGCGTTTTTGCTGCTGTTGTGTCGTTGCTTTTTCTTGCAGATCCCATCGTGGCTCACTGGGCCTGGTCCGACGGCGGCTGGGCCAGCGCCCGACTTGCTGACGACGACGATCTCCTCTTCGGTTGCGGTGTGACAGACTTCGCCGGCTCCGGCGTCGTACATGTGGGTTCTCGCGACACTGCTGTTCCCTTGTCGCTTCGTTTGAAGTTCTCGATGCCACCGGCCGGGCCCCCTCAATAGAGTATCGTTCAGATGTGCAGCTTGATGTGATGATGTCTCTTTGCTGTGCGGGTGGCTGCGCTAGAGTTTGCCCTGGCTCGTCGAGTAAGTCTTGGTCGATGGCGACAATGCGCTGAACACGTTGGTAGTTGTAATAAAGTCAAATATGTTAACGCACTTCCCGAATTCATGACAACGATATACAGTTCAGTGCCACCATAATATTGATAACGGGAATCTCGGAAGAATATTTAGGACGGACGGTTGTCCGAGGCAAGCTGCGTCGCCGATGAGATTGAAATGAGTATGTACTCCTGTGAGGTCGTCTGTATGATGATGGCGCCCTTAGCACGCGATGATGACGCGGCAAGTTGTGGCCATCAACGATGCTGACTTGTCGTATTTTCCTCAGATGACGGGAGGGATGGCAGCCCTCATGGGGATCTTCATCCTCGGCCCTCGCGCTGGCAGGTTCAACGAGGACGGCACCAGCAACACCATGCCCCAGCAGTCCGCAGTGCTCCAGGTAGGCCAGCATCGTTTAGAATCTACATGTATCGAGCGGCTTTTGGGGGGCTTTACAAGTTTCGTTTTTGTGTTGTTCGGGGAATAGACGAGAAAATACCTTCGATTTCGTCGAGAGAGCAAGCGGACTGCGGATCGTTTATTGCGTCCAGGAGGACACAAGCGGACAGCTGTGCTGTATTGGCATGCTGCACTTAGTTCACTCGACAGAGTTGACCACTAGCGCTGCGGATTTATGGAACCCAGTGAATTGCTGGTGTTCCGACCGGTCGCCAGCAGTTCGTTGCAAGTTAAACTTGGACGATTTTCTGAGTTTCTCGTCTACATATAGGTTGCAAAATATATCTGTGTGTGCTTGTCCCTGCTCCTCCCTCAACTGTGCTGGCGAGGCGCTGGTGTTGATACCCCCCCCCCCCCCCCCCCCCCACC